CTTCTTTTGTGTATTGTTTCTATTTCCGACTTTGTCTTTTCCAGTGATTCACACGCACAAATAATTAACAATAGCAACTTGAGATCCACTTGAAAGTGGGTGGAATAATGAGCTCCCTTCAAAGATACTAACACACATATGACAAGCAGTAACCGATGGAGCAGCAGTGGCTGAAAGAGCTGGCTGTCATCAATGAACTGCACACTGCCTATCAGTTGGGCTGGTTTTTCAGCCTTGGGCACCAACAAGATTTTTAGCATTCCTCAAAATTTCCCTATTATGTTCCACCCCATATCCTTTACCAGTAGGTACCAACACTGCAGTAGCGGCTGAAGGTCAGGCCATCAGTAGACCACAGCATCAGATGGTCTTCAGCCTCGTTGATGACAGCCTGCATCCAAAAGACCTTTGCAATGTTAAAAGATCCCTCAAAACTCCTCAGGCCATCATTCCTTCAAAAAAAAGTGTCAGAGAAGTAGCTGGAAGTGTGCAGTCGAGTGCAGCAGCCCTGTATTTAGGGGAAAAGGTTTTCTTAATGATACAAGTCCACTGTCCTTCAGTAACAGTCACTAAGTGAGGACACGCCATCAGTTTGGCAAGCCTGGTCTTTCTGTGCAGTGCAATACATATTTCACAGCACAAACACTCAACACGCCTCTCATTTAGCATTATATTGTCAACAGAAATTAATTTTCATTTTTTCCAACCAGAAACACTGATTGCTCCTCTTGCTCCGCCAACTTGCTTCTGTACAAACCAACTTCATCAACGTAAACCAGCAACGAGACACCTACCACCAAACACTACACACGAGAAAATGTGACTTTTTTTAGTATGCTTTTTTGTGAAAGTATTGATTAATAAAACCGTGAAATGCTAATCCTGGTACACAAGCAGCAAATTATCTGAAAGAAGGGGGTGCCAATTTTCTCAAGTTATGAGAGAAGTGTGCAGACATTTCCTGCAGGACTTTTTTTAACCCCCTGTCCCTCCTTAAGTGTCCTCCAGTAAATCAATGGCACTTGAAATGCAGAGGACTGTGGTCTGAACAGGACGAAGCACCACTCATTTAACACCTCTTTTTCTGTCATTTTATCATTTCAGTTTCATAAAGGAACCTCTCACTGTAGTATCTGACAGTAGCATCCTTGTTGGGAGCAACAAGCTTCTTAACTGCAAATGCAAAACACTGTGCGAGAGCGAAACAGCATCAGAGGATTACCCCTTCCTTTACTTCACATTCCCTAAACAGAAGTATCTTCAGTTTGTAATATTTAGGAAAAAATTCCTTCTACTTTTAACAGCCACTCCCTCTTTGAGCCTGCCATGTAGCACATCCATGAAAAGTAGGCACAAAGTGAAAGAAGTTATTCCATGGGCTACACAGCCACTTAACAGCAGACAAAATGCTCACTGCTTTCACTCTCCAGAGAATTCATTTTCCAAATGAAAAAGAGGATGAGGTATCAGAAGTGAAGGTCAGGGAGAATGCAATAGGATCAAGTTGTTCTTGCAGGTTTGGCTTTCCCTCAAAATATGAACTAGCGCTGGGAAACACCACAGGGATTAAGGCATCTGTACAGAGTGTTGAAAAGTAAACACAACACGTCAAACTAGTAAATATCCAACGCTGTTATGCTACCTCATTCCTTCCATGCTAGCGTGCGCTTCGCAGAAGGACGATGCAGCTCCAATTTTCCCTGGAAGACTGGAACATAGACAGAATGTGTCTGCACAGGAAAGTGCCTGCGTTAACCAACCCCTATCCCTTACCTCGCATCCTTACAGAAGGCCACTACTTCACTTTCAGTGTTTTAAACTCCAAATAAATGGGTCAGCTTAGGATACAGACCAGAAATTGAAATGAAAATGGCCTGACAGGTAATTAAGCACTCTGCAGCAAGGATGTGAGCTAAAGTACCAGGCAGCCTCCAGTACCCTCTCAGTTCCTCTAATGAGCTGAGGATGACACTTAAAATTTATTGGTAAAGAGCTTGTGGTGCTCCATTTACTTCACAAGAAGCGCTGAAGTATCTGCTTAAGAGTCCCAGCAACACAGCAGGAACGTACAACCAGCAAGAACGCAGTAAAAAAGTTGAAAAATACTGTTGAAAAGCTGTATTGAGAAACCCACGTCTGAACTGAGGTGACACCATCTGGAGCACCCTGCACAACAAACCCATCCTCCGTGCGTCAGTGAAAGACCAGATACGCTCGCTTGCGATGGCACCTGCAGAGGAATTGGAAAGGAATAAACCTCACTGTATCTTGTCTACCAGGAGAGGCTATCCAAAAAGATGAAGAAAAAAAAGTGATGGCAGAATTTCCATATTATTAAATTCCAACAGACAGGAACCAACACATGCAACAAAAATTAACCTTTTGCAAAAAGTGTAACTAAATCAGAAATCAAAGCATGGTTTGCTTTCATTTCTTTCCATCTAATTTTTATTCAACAACCACAGTACCTCTTTTCCAGAGATAACACTTCCACCGAGTAATTCTTGTTGAGTCGAGATCAACAGCTCATATTCTTGCCACCAAAGCATGCAGCTGGTTGTTTAAAACAAATTCACTCTTCTGAATAGGGCAGAGTGTGTCTCGTAAGCTTAGACACTTATCTTGAGACACACAAATGCTGAACAACCACATTCAGTACTGGAGCAACATTTAACAGATACAATGAACCATGGAAGCACTGCAGGGAGAGGAGGAAGAATTTTTGCAGCTACTTCCTCTAAAATATTCTGATTTTGTAACATCACCTGAAAATTAGCAAACGTCCGTGACCACTGCGTGGGAAGCACTGAATCAAGACCCAGCACCTCAACAGCAGAGAGTTTACAGCCCTCCTCACCTAGCTGAGCTCAAAAAAAGAACAGTCCGGTACTGTTTGCAGCCACTCTACGTAATTAAGCAAAACCTTTGAAGGGTTCTGAAACAGTCGATGCTGCAGAAGAGACAGACTCCATCAGTGCAATGTCTGCTGATCAGCTGAACACATCCTGAAGTTCAGGTTTTAAATTTTGCTGTGCATACGAGGATATAAAAGGGAACTATCCCTGCAGTTATCTAATTTAAAATCTCACAACTTGTATTTCAAACTAAAGAGCTACCATCGTTTAAAATACAATCACGCTACGGTCCAACTCTGGTAACTGACATCAGCCTCTTTCTTACAGTGAGAGGTAAGACGTTGGCTTTGACCTCACTGAATCCTAGGGCACGTGTACCCCTGTATAATAACTTCCTTCAAACACACAGAGCCCTACAGAAGTTGTCAGAGGAGTACTTTTCCCTCAGTTCACAGGAGATCAAAGTCAATGCATTTCAACAATTTCTTGTCACCAGACTACAAACAAATTCGATATGCTTTATGATGCACAGGAACTTGTTCATCCTGACTCTGTAACAGCACTTGTACTCTTTATGAAGTCCTGGAAAAGGAGCTATTTGTCACAAAATTATTTTTAAAATGAGAACAGTAAGTTCAATCCTCCTCAAAAAGGACTGGTGCCACAAGGGCCTGGACCAGCCTGGACCTTCGTCAGGGGGATCCTCACAGGTTCAACAGCTGAAGAAACATTTTCTGTCCTATGCAGAAAAGAATAAAGCACATTTACTAAAAGCAGCATAACTTACAAATGAGGCCTAGGCACGCTATGGGGAAGTGCTCCATAGAATTCCTGTTCACCTGCTCCAGCTCTGAGCATAACACATTGAGTGTCCATATAAACATGCTATCTCCACTATATGGTTTCCCACGTTTTGCAGTGCGATGCACACTTCACAGTAGCACTAACTTCCTCTGTCACCAAACCAAAATAAAAACGGAAGTTTCCCAGGTATCATCACCTTGTTCTGTGTGCAACAGGCTTAAAAGCCATTTGAAAAATCAAGCGGTTTTGGAAGTTAGATTTTGTGTTTCAGTCCACCAGTGCCAGGAATGAAGATTATAACAAGAGTTCCAATTAAATTAGTTTTCCAACTTCAATATTTGATTTAGTTACAAGACTATAAACTTTCCAGATGCTGTTCATAGCTGATACTATTTGAATATTGTACTCTTATGAAAGACACTGTAGCCTGCAAAGATTTTTAGCCTGTCACTAACTCCACAGCAACTCTCTGATATTCCAGCAAAGCGAAACTGTTAAACCATTCAGAAGAAGGCTTCTAAGGCCATCATTACTTGAAGATGAACATAAATGATACCCTTAGTGTCCGTTACTTCCCAATTAACATGTGACACTTCAGTGTGGAAAGTCTCACATAACATGTTCTTGATGACTAATTATTTCACCTATACTAATTTCCTGACCACGTGCCTCTAATACAAGAGAGAGAGTAACAGCCCAACACATCCAACTGTTTTCTGCCTACCAAAGCTCTGAAACAAGGAAAGTACATTTCAGTCAGAGGGTATACAACACGGATAATCCAAAACCTGAATGATGACCGAACTCAGCTTTCCCACGTATCAACTGCATGATGAAGAATATATAGATGACTACATTAGCTGACTGCAGTGCAATAAGTGGTATTTCCTCTGCTGTATGTATCAGGGATCTCAGCACCACAGTTAAATGGGAAAGTGAGTACCAAGTGTGACCCTCTCTTATCCCTCTTTTCAACTCCTAGCAAGGAGTTGAAGGGAAGCACGCCTCACGCTTGTTCTCCCCGAGTCTTTCCCTTTCGGCCTACACCCCAGCGTCATCTTCCTCGTTTTGATTCCTGCTTCCACCTTCCCCAAAACCACATCCTTTTTCCAGGGCGGCCAAGACACCCGGCTGCTACTGGGCCTGGCGCAGCCTCCCCTGCGGGGAGCAAGGGGGATCCCACCCTCCCTGACCCCCCCGGAGGGGCAGGACCTGAAAAACAGCCGGCAGGGGGGGTGGGGGCGAGCCAGCCGCGGATGGGAGGCCCAGGCCGGAGCGAAGGGGAGCCGGCCACACGGGGAAGCCGGCAGCCCCTCCACGGCGGGGGCTGGGTCCGCTCACCTCATCCTCCTTGTGGTTGCGGATTCCGCGCACCAGGTCCTGTAGGTTCTTGTCAAACATGCGGTCGATGCTGCCCTTCACCATCTTCAACGCCATGGCGGCGGCAGCGGGGCCGGGCCGCGGGGCCTGCGCTCGGGGCTGA